TGCATCTTTATGGCCATACTGACAGGGGCTGACGGAAGTTGTAGTTCAGCAACATCAGGAGATCATATGAAAATACCACTTCTGAGGTTGGTTTAGCCTACTCCCCGCTTTTCTGGTTATTTATCATTCAAAACATTCTGTCTTCGGGTTTCTAAGATTCTCTACATTGTGATGAGCGAAGGGGGGGAACGGAACCAGAAGTGTTTATGCTGAAGAATTCAAACCTATGAGTTCCCTTCTCTCAAGCCCTAACCAATTTCAGGTTCCTCAAACCCTTTCCCAATAATTCTAGGATCCCTTCCTGTAAGCCACTGAGCTCTGGGCTTGCTGCCCAGAGAATTAAAGTCATTGTTTTCCCATCTGTAGGTCTTCATTCCTCTCCTAAGTATACCCCAGGAGTGTAACAGGAGGAGGAAAGGGATATGAAGAACATGCTACTTTTTCCAAACTAGTAAACTAGTATCTAGTAAAGAAGCACGGTGGCAGATAATCACTTCTTCTCCACATAGGGTGGGCATTCAGGGCTCTAGGTTCTCAGGATGAATGTACCTCACCCAGCACTGAGGTGCAGCCACCTCTGGAACGGAAAAACATGCAGAAAAAGCATGACAGAAAGGAAAAGGGGAAAGCCCAATCCCAGTTCAGTACAACACACCTTCTCTGGAGACCTGGCTTGGCCTGTAGCCCAGCTCTGCTCCACCCCCTGCGTGACAGAAAGAAGGTTTTATTTTCAACATTTAGATGCATTAAGGATAGCTAGAACTTAGATGCATGTTACAAAAGGCAGTTAATCAAACCAGAGCCACTGAATTAATAACCAAATAGGACCCGCCCCAGTAAGGAAAAGGAAACAAACTCTGGAAAGGGAGTGTGATCCAGTAAGTTGAGATTTACCAGGTAAGGGACAGGTCTGCATGATTCTGTGGAGATGCAGTAGGATTTCCAACATGGGTTGTCCGGATTTTTTGGGGGGGGGAGCAGGAAACTTAGCTTGGGGGATGGGGGTTCACAGCTCCACAAATCAAGTAGACACTATAGGGCTGAGGTAAAGGAAATTGAAATAAGGATGCGCTCTAGTGGTGAAAAAAGCTTGCTTGTCCCAGGAGTTCAGTTTAGGATTAAATGGATAACAGATGCATGCAAGGAGTTTGAGGTGTGTGAATGGATTGATAAGGGCAAGGATCAGCTGAGGTCATTGGGAACTAAAGGAAATGTTGCAAAATGCTAAGTACCAACACCAAAGCTCTGGGTGCTCAAGAAGCTGGGTTTTTAGCAGCCAGTCTTGAGTTGGCGATGGTGAAGGGTTGGGGAACTTGTGGCTCTCCAGATGTTGCTGGGCTACATCTCCCATCATCCCTGACCAATGGTCATGCTGACTTAGTGCTCATGGGAGTTGGAGTCCAACACCTTCTGGAGGACCAGAGGTGACTTCGTAGAAGTGACTTCGTAGAAGATAAAATACTGGATGCAGTTTAAGTTACCTGTCCGGATGCGGTTGCTGAGGTTGTGGCATTTTTCCTTCTTTCCACCGAGGAGACGCAGCTCCTCCTCTGGGTTGCGATTTTCATCCATTCCCAGCTCCTCCTTCTGCATGGCCTCTGACTGTGTGTGATGCAGATCTCAACAGCAATAGAGCTTCGAGGATGTGGAAGGTATTCCTAAACCCCAGAGTCCTGACTACAGTCTTGCTCTCAGCCTCCTTTTCAAGCAAAACACCACAGCGTGCCCAGCGACTCTACTCTTCCTCTGTTTCCCTGCACTGCAAATTAGTAGCCTGTGCCTGAAAGCTATTCACTCTCTTGCAGCCGCAAAAGTCACCTCAGTGGCAGAGAAAGTTGCCAGGTACCCCGCAGAGCTCCCCAACTTCTGAAATGCTACAGCAGCTTAAAGAACCAAAGGAAACTACTTCTATTTATGTACCTACACTCCTTTCCACCTCTGCAGCTTGGGCTTCAACACCCTACGCTGTATACAAACACCTGTATAAAACTTCGGGAGGAAGTTGCCCCCTCGTTTTCCGTTTTAGCTGTCTGTCTGCCCTACGGTAACCCCACCCACCCCAGTTAGCGCTTCCCGGCTGAAAAACCAACCAACCCAAGGATCCAGCCCCAAACGCGGCACCTCCCTACAACCGTAACAGAAGCTTTCTTCCTTACGAGCAGCAAAAAAAGGCTTTTTCCCTTGCTTACACCCCCACACTCGAGGCGACTCCCACCCACCCCGCAACCTTTGCTAACAGCTTTGCTTCCCGGTAGTCTTTCCTTTTTTATTAAAAAAAAACCCACCAGCCCAGATCTACCGCCCCCGCTTTTGGGGTCGCAAACTTCCTCCGCAGTCTTTCCCAACCTTTTCGGCCTCGCTTTCCCGGTTCCGTCAACTGGGGCCCTTGTTTCGTCAGAGCTCAGATAACTCTAGGCCCAGCCTGACGCTCTCAAAATCACAGCCAGGAACCCTCCGCCTGAAGGGGGATCCTTTTTCCTTTTTTAAAATTAAAAAAAAGAGAACCTCCCCAGGAAGGCCCTAACTCAAGGAGCCCCGTCGCTTCCGCCCCAAGCCCCGGCTGCCCGCTTTGCCTCTGGCCGGCTGCCCCCCAACTACAAGGCGGCCCCCCTGCGCTCCAGCCCCGCTCTCCTCCCTTCACCTTCCTCAGGCCCAGGCGATTCAGCCAAGCCCGCCCGGCACATTCACCCAGCCAGCCCCCGCCACGTGACCGGTTTCCCCCTTTGGCCTCCTCTGGTCACCTGATCCTCAAAGCGCCGTAGCTTCCGGGGAGGTAACCGTGCCGCGTGACCCGCCCTCTGTCAGGTGATCGCTTCGTCTATCACGTGACTAGAGGGAGTTGCTTTCCCCCCCCTCCTCCCTCTTCTTTGCTTTGCTTCTTCACTCTTTGACCCGCCCCTTTCTTTCGTACAATTGGGTTGGTTGCGTTTTTCTTGTGGAGTTTAAAAGCACCGTGTGCTCCCCCCCCCCCGCCGTATAATTTTATATATTTTCTCATATATAGGCTGCTCCCCGTGCCGCCCTCGAAGAACATTATGGAAAGGGTGAGACCGACTTGGCCCCATCCATAAACCAAAGTGAGTAGCAGCCACAGGACTCTTGCTTCGGCCCCGCTCAGTCCTAGGAGTAACAGCTGTAAGGATTTCGCAACTAAAGCTGCAAACCCTGCCATGTCTGCTCAGAAGTAAGCGCCATTAAATTCAGTGGGGCTTACTCCCAAGTCAGGGTCGCAGCCCTCATGCTCCCCACCTTCCAATCTCGTTTCCTTTTGTCAGGTGTTTTAGATTGTAAAGGAGGGGACCATATTACTCATTACTGTAAACTGCTTTGGGTGCCTTGGTCGGCTGAAGGGTAGAGTAAAAATACTTTAAATAGCATCATAAATAATATACTTGGTGGTGGCTCACATAGAGCTTAGTGGGGCTTGCTTTTATATATAAAAAATATGTAGAGATTGTTTGTAGATTGCAAACTAAAGTGTACATATAAGGGTTAAAAGTTTATCATCACTTAACTGCAACACTAGGTGTTTCATGTTTAAATAATATAGTAATACAAAAAAACAGCAGATACTGTGCAGCACTACTAGGGTAGGCATTGGGTCATTTTGTAAATTTCAGTTTTTTTATACTGTTGGGCAATTGCTATTAACAAAGCTAAGCACAGCCTAATTGCAGCTGAGAGAAGACTAATTTACAGCATAGTAATCTAAGGTTTGTTAATTTCATTCCCTCAAGGCCAATATGGTTTTGCTACTTTAACCCTTGATAACTTGAAAGGTGTAGATCATTGTTGATGATTAAATTAAGTTTTTGTATCATAGCTGCTTATATTTGGAAGAATTAACCACACAGGGAAGGAAGCTACATTAGATGTTCAGGCACAGGAGGATGCAGAGTTAAAATGCAGAAACTAGTGTAAGGCTCAGCTGCCTATTAGATTGAGATACATTGTAAACATTGGGTTCTGCTCTGAATGGGCAAAAGCCTTTGTTTAATCCTAATATGAGAATCTATACTAGCAACGTACCTCTGCCTGACTCTTGGATTTGGATTTGATATCCCGCTTTATCACTACCCTAAGGAGTCTCAAAGCGGCTAACATTCTCCTTTCCCTTCCTCCCCACAACAAACACTCTGTGAGGTGAGTGGGGCTGAGAGACTTCAAAGAAGTGTGACTAGCCCAAGGTCACCCAGCAGCTGCATGTGGAGGAGCGGGGAATCGAACCCGGTTCACCAGATTACGAGACTACTGCTCTTAACCACTACACCACACTGGCTCTTCTTCCCTGGGTACGAGACGAGATAGGAAACTACCAAGATATGGAAGCAGGAATACCAAGTTACCAAAATATGGTTTCTTAAAATTAAAACACTCATCCAGCCACTACATTGTAGCCCCTCAAGCCTGCCCAGCCCTTCTGCTTCTTCTCCAAGGCCCCAGTTACAGCAGCAGCTGCCATCAACTAGTATGAATCAAGGCAAACTATTGTAGAAAGACAGGCATACTATAATGTTCTCCAATTAAATACCAACAGTCTGGATAGTGTCAGTAGATCTTCCATTTCCTCTGGCCTGAGGCACTCAACATACAGATCCCCTTCCCCATAAGCATCTCTCTTCACAAAATCCAAGGCATCCACCAGACTGCTGAAACGCTCTCCATTGCTACAATACAGAAGGGGAGAATTGGAGAAAACCTGCACCCACCTTAAATTTTAGGTTCCTAAAATGCAAGCCACAGGCAGCAAATGAACAGAGAAGCTGCCCAAATGTTAACAATGTAAGATTTCACACATGTGCTGCCAACTATGCCAAAAACTCCTTCCTCTTTAGCAACTGTAATTGTCCAATAAACACAACCCCCTGGGTTAGAAAAAAGGATGATCCAACTCACTAAAGTCACTAATATTCTTTGGGAAATGTGCCTGTCTAGGCATGGAAAAGCCCTGGAGATACAGGTCCTTATCCAGTTAAAACACACACACCAGGAAACTTCCCCATTTTTAAGCAGGTACCTTTATTACAATAATTTAATAGAAAAAAAAACATTTTTAAAATAAATTATGCAAATACAAAAAATTACAATAATTAATTCAAGAAAGTTACCTCCTCCAGGGAGGGGAGGATATAGAGATGGGAAAAGAAGAATGGAGGAAAATAATACCTTCTCTCCAGTAAAGTTACCTGCACCAGTCTGCATTTACAGAATGCAATTTCACCCTCCCTCTCCATCCACCACCATTAATATCCAAACCCTGTTCCATGAGACAGTTGACTGAAAGGGCTGTTGAAATGTCCCATATTACGCTTTGCTGAAGTTTGTATGAAGCGGCATACCATTCCCTGTGGCAGGATGGGGAAATGGTGGCCCTTCAGTTATGGATGGACTACAACTCCCATCAAACCAGATCACTGGCCATGATGGATGGGGCTGATGGGAGTTGGTAGGCCAATGTATTCTGGAGGACCCCCGATTCCCCCTCCACCCAACCTCATGGAAAACAAGGGGGTGAAGGCATTCCAGGGGCAGAGTGCAAGTGCTCAAACTCTGCAGGAAGAAGTAAGACTTCTGTACCTACAAGATCTATGTCTGACCATGTTCCGCTGTTTTGTAATGGTGTGTAGATGCCTATGAAGTGTGGGATTGAAGCATCTAACATATTTTGATATAAGTCGTACCGGTAAGTGGGACAGAATAGTTTGGATGGAATCAGGGTCCAGGTCACACAACACTTAAGGAGACAGTCAAACTGTGTTTTTGACCCAGACAAAAAAATTTTTAAATAGCAGCTGTTATCTGACAGACATCTTTCCCAGAAGGACAATAAGTAATAAGAACCAATTTCACGACTGTTACCTCCTGCTCTAATGCAAAGGTTAAAGGTGCCAAGTTTGTATGCATGAATTTTTTAAGTGGCTGATTAACACTGGATTTAATCTCCTTTGCTCACAGGAGGCTAAATGTAGTGGAAATTATTCCAGAAAAAAAGACACTAATAAGTATGTTGTATAATCCCAGTTTTGTCAATGCCATTATCAAAAATTTTAAATGGAGTGTAGCCAGTTTTTGTCTGAACAATTTATGCATTATCTTAAATCCAGGCAGTTTCTTCAACAGAGAAGTTAAAAGTAGGCGAACAGAAACCAAGGGTGGGTTGGGGGTTGACCAATAAAAAAACAACTATGTACCATAAAGCGAAGGGCAGAAGACTCCAGAATGGAGAGATCAAAGTTGGTAAATATGTAAGAACTGACACACCCCTGTCTAGGTAGCACCTCGTCTGTGACCTTTGAAAGAGGCCAATAACAGTGTTACAAAATGGAAGTCACCAGAGGCCCAGTATTAAGCTGAGATGCAATGTAGGCTCCCCTGATTCATATGCTTTGCTCACATATAGCTCTCTCAGTTATAATGTTGTTCTTCCATGGATCCTAAGTTTAGAGGACAGTTAAGAGTCAGTCGGTCTCAGGTTGGAAAGGTTCAGGGTCAAGAGGTTTTGAATAAAGGACCACAAACCAGGTTTCAGTGGTGTCTTGCAGATTATGAGACAGGTGGGGTGGTGAGGGGAAGTGGGAAGTCGGGTGTTTAAGACTGAAGCATTAGGGGAAATTAACAGCTGGAAAGAGCATGCCAGTAAAATGAAGGGGCAGACCAAGAGGTCAATTGTCACAATAAAAAGGAGGGCTTAATAAAGTCAAGGGATAGCAAGAGGGCAGAAAAGCAGCCCAGAGGGGGAGAGAGGTTAGAAAAGGATGCAAACATCAATGAGAAGACCTTGAGGTGAAAGATCAAAAGGAGAAAACAGGTTCTCCTTTGGCACTAAATGGATGGAGTAATGAGGACAGTAATGAGCGAGGCGGGATCAGTCTTTGAAAACAGCTTGGTGGCCGTGAGGACGTTCATCATGCATGATGTGCCTACGGACATGTATGCGCCGGACACGGTGCTCCCGCCCATCTTCGTCGTCACCTGCACGGAGGGGGCCTCCACCCCCACCTGCCACCCCACCTGTTGCCTCCAGGAGGGCCTTGTCTGGCACTCGTGGCGTCTCGTAGATCAGGATGTTCAGGGTTTCCTCAAAGATCCGTGCCTCTGGGAACTCCACCTGTGCACATGGGGGCAGCAAAGCAAGAGCATACTGAGCAACACCAGTTCTCTCCACAGTGTGGTGCAAGTGTTTGGTTTCAAAATGGAATCCTGGGTTCAAATCCTTGCTTGGTGAACTTGAGCTTTACAGTTTTTTCCAGTTTAACTTAACTCACATAGTGCAAGGCTCAACAGCTGCTCTGAACTCCTTGATGCACAAAAATGTAAGCAGAGCTGCAGTTTCGCTAGGTGGGAAGAACTGGAACTGGGAGAGTTGAGCTGAAGTAGCACTTCATCCAGAGAGTCATTTGAGTGGCCTAGGGGGAAACCTCTTCTTCCTCTCAGGTTCTGTTCTCCCAGGTATGGGTCCACTCCCTTCCCCAAATGCCACCAGAGGGCTACCTAAGGACCACCATGCCCTGAAGGAAGGAGAGGCCTCGATTTCAAAAAGCTTTTTTCCCTGTGGCTCTCTCTTTATTGCCTTATAATATAGTTTTAATTTATATTGTTTTTTCTAAGAAAATATGTGATGTTTGCCTGAAAAGCAGTACACACAGGTTCTGCGATCCACACGCTTGCTATCCAAAAATTCACTTATCAGCACATAAAGGACATTCACTTATCCAAACAGCCAACTTCCTTACTTCGTTTGTTTCTGCTTTGCTGGTTGGCAGTAGCCATTTTCGGGCAGACACCACGGAAAGAGGGAGGGAAGGAGCAAGATCGGACATATTGGAGAGCAGGTACAATTTATCCTGAAGGGGAAAGCTCATATCTGAAGCTCAGGGGTCTGAACATTACCTTGGTCTGCTTCTTCTCGGTGGCATACACAATGGAGGTGCAGCAGACTTCAGCAATCTTGCGGCCCTGCCCATAAAACGACCAGCAGCAGATTTCATCCCCAAGAACATCTTTGATGAAGAGTACTCGGCCATTGAACCGCAGAGCCAGCTTGTCAAACAGTTCGATATTCTTCAGCAAGTTGTCATCGGAGTTACTGGAGGGGAGGGAAAGGGAGAAATGGTGATATCCCTTAAGACACCTCTATTACCCAGGAGGTGGAAGTCAAGAATGGGCGACATAGGAGTCAAGAAACAATACCGTTATGCCCAATTCTAGCAGTTGGGGGTGTGTGTTGCATCTTACCTTGTATATGAATACTTGTTATTACTTCGGTTATGCAGCAATTTCACCACAGGCTAAGAATGAAGGAAAAGAAGGATAAATATGGTGGAAACTCTCTTTTTAACCTGCATAAGAGAAGCTGTCACTTTTGCCATTGGACGAGCTACAGTGATTTCATGAAATGTTCATATATGTTCTAACTTCTGGTATGTGTGTGCTCACATCAGGCCCATTTTATGCTGTGTCAACAATATGGAAGGTGCTAAATTATTTCCATGTGTTAAACTGTGTCACACAGCAAGTCTTCATGACTTGAATGGGTCATGAGACTGGAGTTCCAACCTACGTTTTATAGTAGGCAGCGCTTGATTTTAGCTAGAAGGCTAAGAAGCTTTGCAACTTAGGACCTTCACTAAAGGGGGCAGATGCCATCTGCACTCATAAGTATCACCTCACTGGCCCAAAACAAGCAAGAAGACATCTAAGTCAAGCAGTCTAAAATGGCGCAAATCTACACGATCTTCTTGGACTTGAACCTTATGTGACTTCACAGCCTCTTTACCTTGGAACAGCTTGAGATGATCTGCTGCTCCTCCTTGGGAGAGGTCACCATGGGGATATGGCAGAGGGGGTCATAGGCCTCACTCTTTTGCTAGGCAGAAAAAGATACATACAAATATATTTCAACCTTATTAGACGCCCTAGAACATGCCACATATTATTAACATAACACACTTATGTACTGCCTTTTTACCAGTGCACTCATGGACGTTTATAAATTAAAACAAATGACATACAGTTTATTTAACACATTAACAAAATAAGGGTGGAAGGATGGGGAGGAAGAAGAAAAATATGCAAACTGGGGAATCAGTTTTTAGATAATGTTGCATGATGGTTACAACCACCAGATGGAACAATCACTGCGGGAGACAGTTCTGAGAGGGAGAGGCCAAGTAGCAGGTCGTCCAAATCAGGCTAAGGCAAGTGGGCCTTGCTAACTCACCTCTTCGTCTCCCCAGTTCCTTCAAACTGCTTGAGGCTCAGAGGAGTCTGCCTGCCTCCTAACTGCTCAGCAGGTGACCAGCTCACCTGCAGGGCAAGCTGACAGTCCTCAACCAAGCCTTGGATCAAGTAGTACCGGGCCTCAGATAGCACTTCCTCCAGCTCCCGCTGGGATTCAGGGAGAGAGACAGAGCCATCGCGCAAGTAGTTCAGGATTGTTCCAAAATGGCGCCCACTTCGGTCAATCAAGATCCAGCCTGGAAAGGAAGAACAGAATTTTAGTCTCTGAACAAAAGGTCTTTGGGGGGCAGAAGCAGAGACCAGGATCTCTTGCACATAAAATTAAAAGTAGCTCTGTTCTGGAGAACACTTTAAAACATTTAGAGGGAAATCCAAACATTGCTGTCTTTGTATATAATTTTGCTAATGAAGCTACAATCTTTTATTTTATTTTCTATTTAATTTGTATACCGCCCTATACCCGCCGGTCTCAGGGCAGTTCACAGGATAAAATCATGATATAGAAACACAGAATACATAATCAAAAATAAAAGCAGTAGCAACCCAATAACCCCACCTACACATTTTAAAGGGGCACTGAATGTCAGTCAACTAAAGGCCTGGTTAAAAAGCAACGTTTCTGCCTGGCACCTAAAGGTATATAATGAAGGCAACAGGCAAACCTCCTTGGGGAGAGCATTTCACAAATGGGGAGCCACTGCAGAAAAGGCCTACCCTCGTGTTGCCACCCTGCAGACCTCTCGTGGAGGAGGCACACAAAGAAGGGCCTCAGAGGATGATCTCAGGGTCTGGGTAGATTCATATGGAAGGAGATGGTCCTCGAGGTACAGTGGTACCTCGAGTTACATACGCTTCAGGTTACAGACTCTGCTAACCCAGAAATAGTACTTCGGGTTAAGAACTTTGCTTCAGGATGAGAACAGAAATCATGTGGCAGCAGCGGGAGGCCCCATTAGCTAAAGTGGTGCTTCAGGTTAAGAACAGTTTCAGGTTAAGAACAGACCTCCGGAACGAATTAAGTACTTAACCCGAGGTACCACTGTATTTAGGATAGGTCCTTGAGGAAATTTAGGATATCTTATCTCACAAACAAAATGTAAGCATCTAGCTGTAACAGATCCTTGATACCAAGTTATCAAACATTGTCTTTGACTAGAAAGCTGCTCATATTTTTTTTAAAATATGAACCTGAATTTCCCCCCTGGGGTTCACTGTTCATACTATCAAAAGCAGGTGTGAGGTAGTTCTGACGATTTCTTTGCTTCTGCAAAGAAGTCATATAGAATGGCAGATTTCTGTCACCTCCAATGTGCCACACTTATTGCTAACTAGTTTCTATTACATCATTTATATTCTTGACTGAATTTTCATGCTATTTTTTAATATCACTTTGATTGATCTATTACATGCATTGCACTTTTCCTGTATATTTCTTTTGTAATATGCAGTAGTGCTGTTCACGGCTTTGGGGGGGCTTTTGGTCCAAAAAGTATTAAAGTTTATTTATTTTAGTATACCATATAATTTCAGCTGAGCAGGAAACCTGGATTGGGAGAAGGGTTGAGTGGGGAGACAGACTGTGTGATGCCTGGACACTTACCTTCACTATCTGTGAGCACCTCCATCCTGCCACTGAACATAGCCTTCAGCATGGTATCTTGCTTGGTGAGGGTTTGCACTGTGGTGTAATGCAGAGACCCTCCCACGTTCAGCTTGACATACTTGCTGCTGGGGTTAAGGGGTTTGAGATCAAAGGTCACACCGGCTACCCCTCCGCCGCCATCCCGTCGCTGCTGGATTGGGACTAGCGGGGCACAATTCTCCAGGGGTGGGACCTGGTCTGCCGTGGCCTCAGCTGACATAACCACCTGCAGAAAGAGAAATTGAGCAGGGAGGCCTTCCCAAACCACATTACTTGCAAAGGGGCTTGGATTAGATGGAGTAGGGCAGAGTTTTCCAAACTGCGTTGCAACACGTTTGTGTGTCAGCTGCAATGTGTAGGAATGCCGCACAAATGCTCCCCTGCACTCCTCTTTGGGCTGGAATGGGTTGGTTTAACCTCCAATTTGCTAGTAAAACTGAATTACTGTATCATGAAATGATGCATGTCCAAAAAGTGTGCCACCAACTTGAAAAGTCTGGAAAGTTCTGGAGTAGGGCCTGTGGAGCCTTTTGTCACAACCCCCCACCCCTTGCACACACTTCTAGCTTTCATAGCAAAGCGCAGCCTCCATCGATCAGATACTCACCAGATGTATTGAACTACAACTTACATCAGGGGCATCTGCTCCTTGGACTAGTGGACTAGCCCAGTTTATGTTTACTATGTTTTTATATATGCTGCAAGCTACCCAGAGTGGCTGGGGAAACCCAGCCAGATGAGCAGAGTTTAAATAATAAAATTATTATTATTTATTTATTACTACTACTACTACTACTATTAGTGCAACAACCCTGTAAGGCTGACCAGTATTGTTATCCCCAGACTACTAGTTGCGAGGTATGTGCAGGGACTCATAGAACTTAGAATCATAGAGTTGGAAAGGGCCACAAGGGTCATCTAAGTCCAATCCCCTGCAATGCTGGAATCTAACTGTTCCCTATGAAAAATGTCACTGCAGGCCACTGACTCACATCAATAGCCCCATTAGCTGGGGCTAATAGGAGTGGTAGCCCAGAACATACGGAGGGTGCTAGGTTGGCGAAGGGTGCTCTGCACAACATTGTAAAACGTTTAGGCCAGTTTCAGACCCACCTGTCTCACTGCTGTTTGACACATACCTCTCCCCACCCCACCACCACACACTATCTTCCCATCCCATTCTTGCCCATTTCTTGTCAACTCTCTGGGAAGAAACTAGATCATTTGCGGCTTCATTACAGTTGAGGCTCAGTTGGTGGAAATCAAGGGAAGACTCTTCTTTGTCCGTACCCCTCTCTTACAGCATTTCATCATAGAGCAAAAACCTTCCTGTTTAGGCAGGCACTTACTTTATCAGATGAATAATTATTTATCTAATGCTTGTTTTGTTATTTTTTGGGGAGATTTATTGTGTTTAGTTGTGGTTCTAGTTGTTAGCCACCCTAAAAGGTGCATGGGCATTAGAAGGGCAGGGTGCTGGTTTGTAAATGAAAATATATAAACCAAACATCTGACCAAACTGCGGGAGGCAGTGGAAGACAGGAGTGCCTGGCGTGCTCTGGTCCAGGGGGTCACGAAGAGTCGGACACGACTAAACAATAAACCAAACCAGCTCCGTGTCCTGTGAGTCACGTCAGCAGAAAACAACAGGAGTGTGTCCCGTGTTTTGCACTCCTCTTTTTGCCCCCCGGGCTCTTATTTCCTCCTCCTGCCCGCCCCACTCCAGCCACCCTCACTCAGCTCCTTCCTCGCTCCTCAGCACTGATTTGCCGGCGATCTTCCTGCCAGCCCACCCGCAACCTGTCTTCCCATTTATTGCTGCCTGGGCTGCTTCCATTTTGCTGGCCGCTCTGCGGGGCCTTCAGGGCCTGAGCAGACGAAGCCAATGCAGAGGTGCTGGACGGGCCTCTTCCTAAGCCTGGCTCGTCTCCGTTTGGGCCTTTTCCCCTCAGTCCCCCTCCGTCCCCGGAGGCCTGCAACCCCGGGCCCTTCCGCCGCCCCCAGCCACTCACCTCCCGAGGGAGAGCGGGGTGGGCTCAGCCCAGGCGCCTCCCCTTCAGCCCCGCCCGGACTCAGGGCCCAACGGCCGGCCAAGACGCCAAAGCCCGGGAGCAAGGGGGCGCAGGGACAGCGACTGCGCATGCACTTCGGAGCCCTCGCTCGCACTCTGGTCGCTTCGCCTGGCAGTTAGCCTCTACATCCGGGTACTCGCTCGCATTGAGCAAGACACAGAGGCCAGGACGGTGCTTCCCTCCCAGGGGGCGGTGGAGCAGAAGTGCGCCTGCGCCAGAAGGCGAGCGGCTGAATGCTCGAGGAAGCAAGGAGGGAGGGCGCTGAGCGTGCGCATGCGCATATACAAGCAACCGTGAGCTGCACTGAGCGTTTGGTTTACGCAGAAAGGGGGCCCTCGCGCCTCGGAAGATGCGCGGTGCTGTCTTTTGCGCACGCGCGCTACTGGGGGAAAAAATCCGTTAACTAGTGCGCGCAGTAACTCGAGCATGCGCCATTCTTCCAGCCGGGGCAGCTAAAGCGCCTTATATCGGCTTGTTTGCGCCGGTAGCGTCGCAGGGGCTGAAGGCAGGCACTCTTAACTGAGATTCCTGCATTGCAGGGGTTGGACTAGATGACCCTCAGATCCCTTCCAGCTCTATGATTCTACACGCCCCTCCAGCAGTTCCCATGGCTTCGTCCAGCTTCACATCTTTCCCTCTTGAAGGGGTATGTTCCTTAGGTAAAGGGTAAAGGGACCTCTGACCATTAGGTCCAGTCGTGGCCGACTCAGGGGTTGCGGTGCTTATCTCGCTTTTCTGGCTGAGGGTGCCGGTGTACAGCTTCCGGGTCATGTGGCCAGCATGACTAAGCTGCTTCTGGCGAACCAGAGCAGCGCACAGAAAATGCCGTTTACCTTCCCGCTGGAGCGGTACCTATTTATCTACTTGCACTTTGACGTGCTTTTGAACTGCTACGTTGGCAGGAGCTCACCCCGTCGCGGGGATTCGAACCGCCAACCTTCTGATAAGCAAGTACTAGGCTCTGTGGTTTAACCCACAGCGCCACCCGCGTCCCTTAAAAGTTCCTTAAAATATTCATAAACTGCACTTTCGGAACGTGAGTCTGTGTAAGTGAAGACAGAGGCTTCAGCAATGCAAATAGAAAAGCTTCAATAGCATATCCATAAACCTGGCTGGTAAAACAAAATGGAAGTTCCTGAGGCCCATCCAAACACCTCCCACCAGTCTTCTGTTGGCAAGGAGTTCCACAGGGCAGTGTTGGCTCACACTAAAGGCTCAGTGCCCTGGTGAAGGCCAACCCCAGGGGCATGGGCAACTGCCACATGGTATGCTGCCATCTTTGGCGATCAATTGTAGCCGGGTAAGATTGACTTTCATGAACAGAGTCTCGACATGGTAAGTGACCATGGAGGCCAATTCTGGATCCACCCATCCTTCCACAGTGGGGACGTTTCCAGGTGGGAGTTGATCACGGTGAGGGTTTGCCAAACATGCTGCCATATGCAGGACAATAAACAGCATCCTGCCCCACAACTCTTAATGAGGCTCTGGCCTATTTTGTTTGCAGTTGTTGCCCTGTTCAAGACGAAGCAAGAAGTATTCATATGGTAAATATAAACACCCCAGATTGATCAGACTTTCCCCTTGGCAGGGTGCCATTGAGACTCCCAGTGTGTGTTTATGTGTGGAGGAGGTGCCAGAAAGGGTCTTTTGACTCCTGTGAAATAAAGCCTAGTTTTGCCCCTGCCCTTGGGCATTTGGGGCTTTTCTAAGCTTCAGCAGTCAGGTAAGGTTCTATAAATGATTTGTGCTTAGAATCTTTCTCTCTTAAGGCTTCAATTTTCAAAGTCAAGTAATATTTTTTTGCCTCTCCCTATTGCTGCTGTTGATCTTTTCTGATTTTTAAAAAAAAACATTTTTTATTGTTTTTAAACAAATACAATTACCCAGCAGTACAGCTTATCCCGCAGTACAGCTAATGGTGTTTGTTCTAGCCATTGTCTCTAGACATACACTTACACATTCAGTATTCAGACATATTAATGTAACTTCTCCACTGAGACTACTGAGCAGTTGGTATAAGGAGATCTTGATTTTGGTCATTAACATGATATTTTCTTATCTTTTGTCACTCATCATTTAACACTTTTGTTCTCATCAACTTCGGGTCACATGTATTTGCTCTGAAACGAATTCAAGAGTAAGCACCTTTGGGGTCAAAGCCATAATTGTGTTGAGAGCATTCTGCATGAAACTGAGTGGCCAAGTAGATTTATTGAGAAACTAAGGAAATTGCTCAAGGCTCTTGTAAACCCAGATGCCCACAGGGGAGAGTGCCAGGGAAGCAAATCCTGCAGTGAGGATCAATTAAGGCACTCCTGGCAAAGACAAAGCAGAAATGCATAGTCACAGTTGCTTATTGCACCTCTGCCTCTGTCAGCACTCTGCATTTGCCTCCCAGTGGGATAGGATGTTGCAAACAATACCTCATGCAAAAACATGATGTGCTGGGCCGAGCATTCCACCCCGCTAGAAGTAAACTGTTACGGCTGGGTCTGTCCCCTTCATTCAGCTCTGGGAAGATAAACCCTCATCCAACAGATGTTTGAGAATCACTGGCTTAAAAAAAAAAAAAGCTTAAAGTCATCACACAAGTTTTAAGACCAGAACTTCTGACCACTTACAGTGGAACAAGAATCTTAATCTGTGTCAACCACTATGCTGTGGAATTCCCACCTGACAGGTGTCTAGCACCTTTACTATACAGCTTTCAGCAGATGCTAAAGACATCTTGGCACCTTAGATGTGTGTTTTTAGGACCCCACCCCTGCCAGATTTGAAGTTATATTATGAAGCATCCTGCCTCTGCTGGTTGTGGGAATGGATCTTGTTAAAAAACACAGATTTATTAGATCTGGAGGGTCATAATAGATTTGGGTAGCATGCATATTTGTAGTATGATAAAACAAAAGTACATAAAGGATTCCTGAACCATTTGATAAGAAAATCAATCTATGAGGTATGGGATAGGTACAAGAATCTACAGTCATACCTCGGGTTGCGAACGCTGCAAGTTGCGCGTTTTTGTGTTACAGACCGCGCCAAACCCGGAAGTACCAGAATGGGTTTCAGCGCATGCACAGAAGCACTAAATTGCGCTATGCACAGAAGCGCCAAATCGCGTCACACATGTGCACAGACGCGGTGCTGCAGGTTGCGACCATGCCTCCCGCACGGATCACGTTCGCAACTCGAAGTATGACTGCATTAGAACGAAGAACACCATGGTGGCTCTCTCCATTAGAAGCAATTTCAGTTAAAAAAGTAAATATGAGAGGCAAGTGGGTCACCTATTAAGATTTGTTAAAAGAGACGTGAGACCAATTAAAATTGGTTACAGTATCACCAATTAAATTTTTTTAAAGTTGACAAAAAATTATATGAAAATGATGTATCGTTGGTATCTAACACCGAGTAAAATTGCTAAAATGTACAAAACAAGTTCTAAACTGTGTTGGAAATGTAAAGAAAAAGAGGGTACTTTTTGTGGTGGACATGTACATTGGTAAAGGCTTTCTGGGAAATGATATACAGTATAATGAATTAAAGAAAATGTTTACGAATACATTTGTTTAAAAAACAGAAGCCTTATTATTAGGCATTGTAGGTGAAGAGTTTCCAAGATAAGATAAAAGACTTTTTATGTTTGCAACAAGAATGCTACTAGCCTAGAGATGGAAGGAAGAAGTACCAACAAAAGAAGAATAGCAGATGAAATTGATGGACTATGCGGAAATGGCAAAACTGACTGGGAAGATCCGAAACCAGGAAGATCAAGTATTTTCTAAAGACTGGAGTAAGTTTGTAAACAGCTAAAATCTTTGGCAGGGATGTGAAGACATTTTTAATGTGGAATTGTTTTAATGGCAATTATGGTTATATAATAGATAGATAAGGGTAAAAGATGTAGTACATTTAATCTTAAAGATGGAACCCATGGAGGGAAGTCTAAAGGTTCGAAAGAACTCTGCATTTTAATGTTTGGAAATTATTTAAAAAATAAAATAAACTTCTTTTAATACAGACATTTAATTGTTGGGAGCCTGATGGCGAAGAGTGGGTAATACATTTAAATAGCAACCCTAAGTATCTCCAACACTATTTCTTTTTTATTCATCCTAATATATATCCCCTCACGTGAGGTTTCCTCCTCACTTTGATTTTGGCATCTTTTATGCACTGATTTCATGCAAAAGAAGGTACTTCTTCATATAAGGAGTTTCCCTGGGAATTTGTTCCGAGAGGATAGTGAAAGCAGTCAACATGGATGGTTTTAAATGGAATTTAACAAATTCATGGAGGATAAGGCTATCAGTGACTACTAGCCACGAGGGCTATCTGCTACTTCCAGTGTCAAAAGGAAGCATGCCTCTGACTATTATTTGCTGGGAATCAAGGTGCAGACAGTTGCTGTTGCAGGCATCTCACAGGTCTCTGAACGCCCACTGCAAGAAGAGGATACTACACTTGATGGGCTTTTCTTACAATCCAGCAGGGCTCTTCTTTCTTTCTTTTTGTAACCAAAAGTAGGAAGTTGGTGGCGGCAATATAAAATAACCATTTGAGATGTACAAGTTTTCTGTACTACTTTTATATGCTTAATATATTTAAATGCACCAAAGCTAAAACAGAATAAAAACCCAAGTCACTTTTAATAAAAATCAATGTAGGGAGAAGATGCTTTCCAGTTACTGAAGATTTCCAATGTTGGTCAGGATATTTACCTAGGAAAGGGGGTAGGGGAGAGAGAAGAGCAAGAATTTTAATTCCTCCGTTATTTGTAACATTAGCACCTTTTAAATCCAGTGCATACTAGATTACAATGCATACATTTAAGCTTTACAAATAATAATCACAAACTGTATCTCGGCCTTGCGTTTTAAATACTCACTTGGACACCACAGGCCAGCTTTCACCAGCCTAGTGCCTATTTTGGACAGCTGGAGGGCGTGAGGTAGGCAAAAAGCTGCCACAGCCAATAAGAAATTCCATTCAGACTAGCAAGCTGGCTGGTGGGGAAGGTAGGGACCCACTAATCTCTATGTTGGCTGCAGAGGAATGAGCTTTCTTTCTTTTGTGGCCAGTATAATAATGTAGGTAGGCTGATATGAGGGATGGAGTAATATGAGGGGGGGTGAAACAAATCATCCCCCACCAGCCTACTTGATTTCTATGCTGGCTCTGAAAGGAGGGAAATGAAGCAGGGAGACAGAGAGACTGATCCGACACCTGCCAGTCTGCCAAGCTCAAAAGAGGCAGGATTTTTTTTACTTGTTTCCCGAGGGACAGGTAGAAAAAGTTCTGGATAGCAACTTCTGTCGCTGTACATTAAGCTTCTAGGCTGCTGTGCCCCTTGCATTTCATGACAAACTCACACTTCTGTTTACAGTTTCCCCCTCTCTACCTATTCATCTGCCATCCGAGGATAACACTCCATTCATCTAATGTGATGGACTCTACTCCAGATAAGCTTATAGCCACAGTGATGGAACTGAATTAAATACACACCTTCAGAAAAGAAGCTACTTGTTTGGCGGAGATGCCTTCGACTTTCCCAAGGTCCTCTACCTGAGAAAAGGAGGAAGGAGAAATGTGTAGGTTACACAAAGTTGCAAAGTCATGGAGATACTTAATTATTAAATTTGTATACCACCCCTCATCCATAGACTCAGCATCTGGCATTTCCAGTCTCTGTCAACAATTGGCCACAGTATCCAAATGAAACCTCCACATTCAAAGGTAATATTTATTATATATTTCAAAAAATTTATACACCACTTGATTTTTCAAAAATTGCAACCTCAAAGTGGTTTACAAAAAGATAAAAGAAAATGGAGAAATACTCACAACCCTACTGTAAAGCATACAAAAGTTAAAATACTAAAACAGATTAACATTACCTCAACTTCCTAAGAATCTGGGTAGGCTTGCCTAAACAAGAATGTTTTTAGCAAGCGCCAAGGAATACAGTGAAGGGACTTCTTGATCTCAGAAGGCAGGGAGTTCCAAAGTGCAGATGCTGCCACATTAAACAATCGGGTTCTTACAAATGCAGGACAGGTATTATGTGGCAGCTTAGTACTACCAATTGAACCAGTTGAGTAGAAATATGTGGGGCAAGATGATCTTGTAGGTAAACTGGTCCCAAGTTGTTAAGTGCCTTTATATACTAATAGTAGCACCTTGAACTTGGCCCAGTAGGAAATCGGCAACCAAGCACAGGTTTTACCCACTGGCAAGGCCTCACTCCTGTCAGTAATCACACTGCAGCATTCTGCGGAGGGCCTTCTCAGTAGTGGTGCCCACCCTGTGAAACGCCCTCCCATCAGATGTCAAGGAAATAAACAACTACCTGACTTTTAGAGAACATATGAAGGCAGCCCTGTTTAGGGAAGTTTTTAATGTTTGATGTTTTTAATATACTATTGTGAACCGCCCAGAGTGGCTGGGGAAACCCAGCCAGATGGGTGGGGTACAAATAATAAATTTATTATTATTATTATTATTATTATTATTATTATTAGCCTCCCAATTCTATTATTATTATTATTATTATTATTATTATTAGCCTCCCAATTCTAACTGCTGGGGAGGAAATATTGCTTTCGTGCCGTGCTGCTGGTGGGCTTCCTAGAAGCTTCTGGCTTGCTACAAAAACATTAGACTAGATGGACCTTTATTCCAACCCATTTCTTACAAGAATAGGGTGCTGCTTGCTTCCTTCCTCTCCCATATTTGAGAATGAGCCAGTATTCCAAACTCCAAGGATCCCTGCTGAGCTAAAGGCTAAAGCAGGATTCCTCCAAGACTTTAATGTTCTGCCCACTAGACTTCAACGCTCTGACCTTGAGCCAGGTCTGAATGTGTTAAAGCCTTGCATGGCCTACCTCCTACCTGAGGATTAATTTCCTCTGCACAGTAGCTGCACCTGCACACACCTCAAACGATGGAAGAGCAGCTCTGCCCTCAGAGCCCACTTACCTTTTCAAAGGACCCGTGCTCTCCTCTCCAGGCCACAATGCGATTTGCCTTCTTCTTGCCAATCTGGTGCAGGGCCATGAGATCCTTCACAGAGCCTGTGTTCAGGATGGCCAGGATGTTCTCCTTGGTGCGGGCCATCAGTTCAGGCTGAAGCACCATCTCCCACTCAGAGGGAACCTTGTTTTCAGAGCCAGGGGCCGAATCCTGGATATAGCATGAATCATAATAAGAAGTCGTGTCGTGTCGTACCCGTCTGTTTCCTGACTGGCCCTCATCTCATATTCTTTCACTGAATCCACCAATCACAAACATACCCTGGCTTCTCCTCAGATCGTATAAATCTTTCGCCTTTTACTTCTCAGGGGCTCTTCAATGAGATATCAGGCATGCAGAATAAAGTTCTCCAGAAGATAAGACAGACAACTGCCGCTGCTGAATTTACCTTCTCTTGTTTCACAGGCCTGTCAGGGTTTTTGGAATCTGCTGACAGCCATGTCCCTGAAGCAGGCCCACTGGAAACCACCTTATTTATAGTATTTATAACCCTGCCTTTAGCTGAACGCACACTCAGAGAGGCTTACAAAAATCACTTCTCTCAGGCTGATGATCTAGACCAGGAGTAGGCAACCTAAGGCCCATGGGCCGGAAGCAGCCCACGAGCCGCCCCTGAACAGAGCTGCCTGCTCGGCGAGTCCCTGCATGCTGCACTAAACCAGCACAGTGCACTGACTCTCTTCCGTGGCTCTGGAAAACGTTTCTGCACATGCCCAGACACCAAAAATTGCTTCTGCGAGCGGCAGAGGCTGTCAGCGGTGATGGAGGAGGAACGAGCAGCTCGAAAGCAGCCCTTTTGGGCTGCTCGTTCCTCCTCCACCACTGTCGCCGCCACCAGCCTCTGCCTCTTGCAGAAGCAATTTTCGGTGTCTGGGCATGTGCAGAAACGTTTTCTGGGCCTAACAGCTGAGAGAGAGAGACTGCTGGTCTGAGGCAGTGAGTCCAGAACTTTGATCTGGCTCCCTCAAGACACTTGCAAAGCTACTTTCTTTCTGCTCCTGGAATAAACCATTTCAGGCTGCTTCCCACCAACCTTACCCGTAAGAATTTAAATTTGCTTAAAACAGGGAAGAGGTGGAAAAACATGTGGTCAGCAGGAACAGCCCTGATTTTTCTCATCTGTCTACTGCTACCTGTTCCACTCCCAGATTTGATTCAGAAACACGGTGTGTGGGTGAGGGCGGATGTGTATCCTTCTGGGTAAGGCTTGATCTTTGCCGCACTGCTAAGACTGAGGCAGTCTGAACATGAACTAACAACAGGCAATAGGTAAGGGAATCTGTTCTTTGTTCTCAGGCAGAAGATCTATGGGGGGAAGCCTGCCCAGGCGGAATCCATATATAACTTTATTAAACCATGTTTGTAAACTGCCTCAAAAACCTAAGTGGTATATACACCTGTTAACCATCACCAGCCCCAAGTTCAACAAACCCCTTTACGCACCTTCTTCTTTCGACCTCCCTTCTTTTGCTTTACAATGATGATGCTATCTTCGTTCTCAGAGTTCTCCAGGTGCTGCACTGGAGAGGTAAGGAAGGAGAGCTGTGTTGTCATAGGAGGAAGGAGCATGAAAAGGGAGTCCTGCTTTCCAGACCCAGCGCCCTTTTACCTTGCTGGAAGGGCAATACCACTGCTGTTCCTTGGCGTTTGGCAGGCACCCATGAACCACGTCCATGCTCTTTGTCCTGCAGAACCTTGGTTTCCATTTCCAGCTGCTTCTTCTTAAGCCTCTGTAGGGAGAGGGAGAACATAATAAGCAGATTCAGATGGAGGGAACAGGGTGTGTGTTCGGTGACCTCCAGGCATGTGTGGGGCTCCCATCAGGTTCCCAGCCCAATAAGGATCGTATTGCGGTGCCAACTGTATAGACTGCCAGGGCCATAATGAAGCAGGTTCTCAGTGCAAGATGGGCACAGTTCAATTTATATAAGAATCCCCTCCTACAGGACTTACTTAGTGCTACATCTCTTTCTTCCTTCAAAGCTGGCCTTTACATTGGAGCCACTGGCTTAACCAGAGTTGCCCTGGCAAAGGCTTCACTGGCACCCCAGGCAGGGCCTCCTGAGTTTAAAACAACAGCAGCAACAATAGTCCTCCTAGAAAAAAACCTAAGAAGCAAAATGTGCAGGTAACTGACTTGAACCAGCTTGGCTGCTCTCGCCCGTCATTGTTTGTAGGCAATGAATGAAATTGGAGCTGTGATTGATAAGCGAGTTGTTTGGACACCAGGCAAAAGGAATCCCTGGAGTCCTAAAAAAAAGAGAGAGCTGCTGTTCCCTCACTTTCCCGTTAGTGCACTTTTCCTGCCCCTTTCATATTTCTCAGTCCTTGGATCCACCCATTAACTGCTCTATTTACTGCCTGCCACTCACTTCAGAACCTTTTTAAAAAAAGAAAAATGTGCTGCTGTAAGGGAAGAAACATAGTAACCACACATAGAAATTTAAAAATTTAATCAACAAATGAAACCCGCAGACCGTGCAATAAACAAGGCATTGTGTTTGTTTACGGGAAGTAGCCCATTGCAGTCTTTGAGGGATCACGGTGGGACATAAAGAACAAAGTCTTCACCTGCAGCTCACGCCGAGTCTCCTCCAGCAGCCTCCGGAATTCCAGCCGCTCGCTGCGTGGGGTGTTGAGGAGGGGCAACGCACAACTCTCTGCCCCAGCCTGCTGTGTTTCCAAGGCCTCCAAGTGCAGCAGCTTTTCAGCCAAGGCCGGCTCAAGATTCTCCATCGGCAGCAAGGAACTGGTGGGGAAAGAGACCAGAAAGTAGGGCCGATCTTTTCTAACAAGCCAGAGAGAGCTGCTCAGCGCTTTAAGGGTGGAGTGGCAGGAGAGAATTTGACTGCACCACAGAAGCACTGCTTGCCCCTTCACCAAAGCCTATAAAATGTTTGGTGTCTCACCTGAATGGCTTCTCTTCAACCAAGCTGGGCTGTTCCTCCTCTGAACAAGGTCTCTTGGCTTCAGGGCCTGCATCACTGGAAGATGGGCATGGTCTTTTTGATGCTTCTGTGTGGGGAGGATGTTTTTAATTTATTTGATGTATTTATTGGACCTTGGAGCCTGCTCCACCTGGACTGCCCTCCTTCACTACCACTGGGCTGCAGAAAGGATTCTGTTTTGTTTGGATAGTCTTCGTTGCAATTTTATTACAAAGTTACTGGTAAAGTGCCTTGGAATGATTTGTATCCCCAGTGGTGGGATAGCAACAAAGAACAAATTGTGAAAAATATCCCAGCCTTATCAAAAGCATTTCAAGCCACCTTACAAACCATCAGCTTACAAGCTACATATCAGAATAACTTAATTATTAAAATGTTTTTTCAAAAAATACCGGGGTGGCGGGGGGAGCCACAATGACAAAACAGAACTAAAAACACAACCTAAGTGTAAACGTATCCACCCTTTAAAGCAGCTTAAGATAAAGACAGCAAGGGCAAAAATGTTTTTACTTGATACCTAAAACATGGACCTGGGGAAGGTGTTCCAAAATCTGGGTGCCACCACTGAAGAGGCCCAAACCATTGACACCACTCACATGATCTCAGTAGGCACAGGAATCCAAAGCAGACCCTCCTCCCCGGATGACTGCAAGGCACAGACTGGTTCTGACAGGAG